GGTGGCCATTGGGTCTGTGAAAGCGCTATATAAATGCAGTCCATTTACCATTTACCATTTAAGTAAACCAAAACACTTTACAGTGTGAATTCCCCATTGATCTTTCCTGTAATCTAGCTACTGATTATACACCATGCAAATTCATAAAGCTAAGTGGTTGAACCAGGCTTATGTTGGCTTCAAATAAGGCTGCTTGAATCGCAGGCTTAACCATAGTGAGAAGTAGTCAGTATCTGATAAACCTGTTGCCATAGCAACTGTGTCCATCCTCCGCCTGTGTGGAAACAGCTCATCAGTTTTCTGTGAAAGCATGTTCCACTGAATGTATTTTAGAGGGAGGGGAACTCATTCATCATCATGTGAAAGCGCTACTGTAGTGCAAGGGAATGGGTTCATAGCAAAGTCCCTTTCAAGGAAAGTCTGTGCACTGGGTGGCCATATTTGCTACGCCTCCGAACGCCTCCAGGCAGCTATTTCGGACATCCAAGACCAAGTCCTATCTTTCTGAATAGCAGAATCCTGAAATTTCAAAAACTGCTTTCTGAACTCACAATTAAATAACATATTTCAAATCAGCAACAAAATCTGTCATTAACTGTCAGTGTTTCCTCTAGGATTTTTTCCAGCCGTGGTGGCCTGCCCATTTCGCTAGGGGAGGGGGCGTGGCCCATGAGTGATATTCCCACTGGCCACGCCCCCTTATCCCAGGTGTTTAAACTTCCCCTAAGCATTATAACATGAAAGGCGCCAATAAGAGCGGCAAAGCGATTATGCGCATCCCGTGCGCAGAATGATGCACTTGAAGCAACGCGAAGTCACAGCGTGCAGCGCTTCACATTGAAAAGTTCAAAGCGAAGAGATTATATCTATCTATGCTTAATGTATTATATCTATGCAACAGTTTATTGAGCCTTTTCTTTTAACAGTTTTAAATTTCAGTTAACTTACAGTGCGCATGAAGAACAATTCATAGTGCTCTCTACTCTAGTGCTGTAGTAACAGACACCCGGGAGAAAGGAATATGATTTAGAAAGCGCTATAAACTCTAGCAAGATAAGGTAATTTTATGCAAACTATAGATCTTTATCTACAAATAAAGTATAATAATGGGAACATTGATCTTGAAGAGAGTGTCGTCGTGTTACTGTCGTACCCGAACGTGACGTGCTGTTTGAATGCTGAATGGAGAATGACTGAGGAGAGATGAGTTTCCATTAACTTTAACTTAACGACTTAAATATACATTTTTACCTCACATTATGCTATTGAATGACTTTAGAAGTCTTGGAATATAGTGCGAAAACTTTATGGTGCTTTACAATGTTTTGTATGCCTTTAGTGGGGCTTAACAATAACACATACAATATCGGACCGAGAAGCTGCAGCCGTGGCGGGATGATTTTAGGTGTGGCGGCCCGCCACGGCAGAATGAATGTAGCGGAAACACTGACTGTCCCGTAAATGTTGTTTCTTAAAGCTTACTTTTCTGGCTAGATCAGCCAATGCACATGTGCAGTCCTAAGCGTGAGTCTCACGAGTCTCTCTAGTCTTCTAACGGCAGCTGCTGTGACTTAGAAGGTGGGGCGTAAACCTCTATATTGTGTAATGTTAAAATGAGACACAGCCAGTGACTGTTTCATCGCGGTTGAAGTTCGGTCTCATTAATGCCCGGTCTCTGGTAAACAAAACTTTCATTAGGGGTTCAAGCACAAAGTGCTGAAACCCTATTGTAATTGTAAGGATTTGTAAAACTGACCGTGCAGACCAAACCGTAAGAGCTAGAGACTTGAAACCTGGCCAGATGGTAGGCCTCAATTTGGGGACAACCTATCAGAGTATGACCCCGATTGGCCCATTGGTGGCGCTACAGCAATCAAAAGTACTTAATCGCTCATAACTCCTAGACCATTTGACTTAGAATCACTCAAAAGCCTACAAATCCTAAAGGAAAACTCAGAACTTTACAATTGGTGGGCATATGTGACATAACAGTAAACAAGCATGCAAAATTTTATGGAGATCGGACCATAGATGGCACTATAACTGTCAAAAAGCTTTGAAAACCATATATTTACTATGGTAAATTGCCTGTATTGGCTGTGAATGGCCTTTTCCATCTATGATGTTAGTGGTTAAATGCTTGCCTAAATGCTTGCTTTTCTGCAGCCTACCATGATGTACGCAACTGTTTGGAGTCTGACTCTACTCTGCATAATCTGGACGCTAATGCACATCTTAATCTTTTTATTTCCACCTGCGCAGATATTATGAATTCTGTTGTGCCCTTGAAGTACAAAAATCATAAGCCTGCACCAGTGCCCTGGCACACTGACACTACACGTACCCTTAGACGGGTATGTAGACGGGCTGAGCGCCAATGGAAAAAGGACCTATTGCAGATTTATTTTGAAATCTTGAAAAATTCTTATAACGCGTTTCAGAAAGCTGCAAAGGCCGCAAAATGCAAATATTTTTCTGAACTTATCACAAGAAATTGTCATAAACCTCAAGTTCTCTTTTCCACTATTAACTCGGTTTTAAATCCTTCTGTGCATTTTATTTTAGAGCCCTCTACTGCTCTCTGTGACAACTTTGGGAAGTTTTTTTGTTGACAAGATCACAACTTTAAGATCTCAGTTGTCTAACTCCGTATACTATGCATGATGTTCCATTATGTTCTTCCATCTGGTCTGAGTTTGATCTGATTGATCTGGACTCATGTAATGAAATTGTTTGTCACCTAAAACCTACTATCTGTCCTCAGGATATTATTCCACCTTTTTTCCTGAGACAAATTATGGACACAGTTGGTCCTGGGCTGTTATTGGTTATTAACAAATGCCTGTCTACTGGTTCCTTCCCTAACAGTCTTAAAGTTGATGTGGTGACGCAATATCTTAAAAAAAACACAACTAATTTGGATCCTTCCTCTCTTTCTAACTTCCATCCTATTTCTAATCTACCTTTTATTTCGAGAGAGTTGCACTGACTCAACTACAATCATACTTTGCTGTAAATTCTCTCCATGAAACGTTTCAATCTGGTTTTAAAGCTTTACGCATTACTGAATCTGCCCTTTTAATAGTTTCAAGCGATATTTTCACAGAAACTGATTCTGGGAAATCCATGGCTTTAGTTTGATTAGATTCGAGTGCTGCATTTGATTTGGTCGACCATGAGGTCCCGTTGAGACGTCTGGAGATATCTGTGGGCTTTTGTGGCGTAGTCTTACAGTGGTTCCGTTCTTATCTGACCAACAGATGTTTTAGTGTTCGTATCGGTCATCAGTCCTCCTCTAGTGGACCTCTAAACTGTGGAGTCCCACAGGGATCAATCCTCTGGCCGGTATTGTTTACCCTCTACATGCTACCTCTGGCTTCCATTTTTTATAAATACGGAGTATCCTTTCATCTATATGCTGATGCTACTCAGATCTATTACATTATTTCCTTTAAAACATAACGATAAAAATGGTTTACAACTCTTGTTGGCCAGTACTGTTGTAAAATCATGCTCTAACTCCAACTCTCTAAAGTGAAACCTTTTTTAACCCAGTGTTACTTCTAAAAAGTGATTCATGCTTTCGTAACAACTCGTCTAGGCTATTGTAATTCACTTTATATTGGTGTCTCTCAGTCTTCCCTCTCCCGTCTACAGCTAGTGCAAAACGCAGCTGCTAGACTTCTCACTGCGACTCGCAAGTATGAGTCGATCACCCCTATTTTATCCACACTGCACTGGCTACCTGTCAAATTTAGAATTGATTTTAAAATTGTATTATTTGTTTATAAAGCCCTCAACAAATTGGCCCCTCAGTACCTGACCAATCTACTCTGTCCGTACACTCCTTCTATAACTCTGAGATCTAGTGATCACTGTCTACTCATTGTGCCTAGATCTAGACTTAAAAAAAACTTTGGAACAGTCTACCTCTCTACATTAGACTAGCTCCCTCTGTTTCCACCTTCAAATCTTCTTTCGAGACTTATTTATTTTCTTTGGCTTTTAATACTCCTTGATTTAGGTACGATTATTGTTTATCTATTGTTTTGTGTTTCTTTATTGGTTGTTTTATTTTTATTTATTTTTTCTGTTCTGTATAGCACTTTGGTCAGCCTTGGTTGTTTTTAAATGTGCTTTATAAATAAATATTGTATGAGGGAATACAAATCATTTACTCAATCATTTTGCATCAAAACTGTATGCTTTTGACTTGCTCTACAGTCCAGTCAAGACACTTAACTGCATCTCTACTTTCAGTCAAGGATTTCCATAAATTTCAGGATTAAACTATCTGCAACCAAATTCCTTTTTCATTCCTTTTGCACCAACTACATGATTGCTAAAATCACCTTAAGCTACAGTCTTTTTTCATCATCCTCCTAATTTCACATTTTTGATTGTCTGGATATGTCTGGATATCTTAGCTCTGTTACAAAACCTAGACAGCTGTCTTGCTGTCCACTTCCTACATAGACAGTTGTGTTGTAAGGCAACTTCCTAACAATCATAGAACCTCATAAGTGACTGATTTTTAATGCTGAAGCAGAAACTCCACACACAAATCTCCTAAAAAAGAGACTTGACTATTTCTTTCAATAGTTTGGCGTCAGCATGTTGCTAAGCTAACATAATATACTCTAAGCAAAAAATTATACAAAGTACACAGACATTGGGTAAAATAACCATTTAGATTAAACTGAACTATTTTTTTAATATTACATTTACATCTCAGAATTGAAATAAATAAGCTAATTGTATTTTTCTTGTCCAGCATTTTGGATTACATTTTGGGATTGGCTTCTCTGACAAGGCCTAAATAGTCTTCAGAGGCTCTAAATAATTAAATTACCTACCTTTTAAAGCAACCTTTATTTCAGAAGCGTGCTTACGATGGCTTATAATTCTGCCTCTGTAGGAAGTTTTCTAAGGGAAAATAAAATCTCAAATCTCTTCTCAAGCATTCATCTTTTCTGACTGGTCACTGTTGTTCTTTACAGAAGTACAGACAACATGACGAAGACACAGGATCTGCACAGGAGCAAAGCTCGCCCCAGTTCACCGATGAGGCTCCTGGGCCAGAGCTGGTCCAAGTGGCCGAGAAGAACCTTTCCCAGATTGAGAACGTCCATGGCTATGTGGCACATGCACATATCTCCCCAATGAAGGTAGGCCTGGAATCTACACTTCCTGATCAGTTCACCTTGTTTTAACATGTGCCATGTTGTCTATCACCTCATTGTCCAAATTCTGCCATGCAGTTATAACTGTGAGTGCCTCACTCTTTACATACACAAGACACAAACACAAGTTTTAGGTTTTAGAATGGCTTCCCCTTCTTGCATTATTACAAGAAAAAGCCGGACAACCATAGTACTGCTACTGCTTTTGTACATTCAGCTGTTTTTTTTGGCCACAATCGATCAAAATGAATAACTTTGACTAAAGCATACAATGAGGTCAGAATGAGAAAATGTTGGGCAAATATAATGATTTTGCTAGATTGGCTCTTAATCCACCAATGCACTCGGTTCAATGGGATTCTCATTATTAGTGTGCAAAGTGCTTTATAACACAGAGGCGTTTGCAGAGCCCACAGGCTCATTGGACATTGATCTAAACCACACCGCTAAAGCATATGAAAGACTGGCACAATGGACACAAAGACATGTATCCCCCCCTTGCTACTTTCTCTTAGCTCTCATAAAACATGGGACACATCTTTAATGTTTTTAGATGAGCAGCTTTTAAATTTATTCTATTAGCTTTTCTGATTTAAGCTTCAGCAGCAATGAATGTAATAGAGGTGAGAAGTTCAGTTAATTTTTGAGAAACATTGACATATGATTCAACCATATTTATTTTGCATTATTACTCCGAAAAGTTCACAGATTTGCCATTTTGCATGAGTTTAAAATGTTCATAAAATGTCTTGGTATAATAGTTTAGTATGTTTTCAGTTTCTAAAGGAAAGGTGTCAGGTTCCCATTTGTACAAGTTTCTCTTTTTCAGTGGCTAAAATTTTGGTGCATTACTAAAATAAATCTGTATTAGCTGTTTTGTATGTTTAATGTATGGTTGGTTAAAATGAGCATACAAATGAAAATGATTAAATATTCGATTGTAAGAATTCTGACATAATTTACACACCCTAATCTAGTTCCGAACCTTCATGAATTACTCAACACTTAATTCTCCGTTATGAAGAAAATTCTGGTCACTCTTTTGTAAAACAATGAAAAGCATGATACAAGTGGTCTATATTACATACTGAAATGTAATTTGTTACTTATTATTTTTTTTTTAACAATATAAGGTTGGGTAAATTTAACAGTGTAGAACAAATTAATTGAGTTTTTCAGCCATTTTGACAGCCCTAGTTCTATAGTGTGTTCCGTCAAATCCATATTACTGAATATTAAGTGTCCCCAACTTAGCAAGCCAAAGGTGACAGTGGAAAGGAAACCAAAATCTATCTGGTATCAGAATAGAGAAGAAAACCTTTGGAGAAATCAGGGTCATCATAAAAAATATTTCATGTAACTCTTTCTGCTTGAAGATCGGCATACAGAATTTGGTTGGGGGGAAGAGGAACTTTTATATTTGATTTAAAGCCACAGTGCATTTATTGTTGGCTTCTTTGAATATGTTTGTGAAATTGCTTAGCCCTTTATTTTCTCAGGGTGAAGCACTATCTCTGTGAGCTAAGTGGAAGGCAGTAGAGTGACTGTGTCCAGAGAAGGTGAATATACTGTGAGGCAGGAAGTGATATGTATGTATGTGTGAACATTTACTAGGACTCGTCCTGCTCCGGTTGTGCTCCAGCGCTCCCTTCTGCCTTTAGATTTATGACCCAATGGCAGGCTCCTCCTCAGTCCTGATCAGAGCCTAAGCCAAAAGCATGCACACAACAAACCACACATGAGAAATCACACCTGCCATTTCTCATAACCTTCACTGCTCTCACTTAAACCGGCACCTTTTCATTCCCCCAGCCCGCCTCGCAATGTGCCATCCATCTCAGACACACCCTCACAATACAGTTATGGCCTCAGCATCTCCTCAGAGACTCTCTAAACAGCACATTTTTTGAAATTTTTTTAAGACCCCCCCCCATGGCTCAACACAATATCTGAAGGCCCCTCCATATACACTAAGATATTTCCTGTATTTCTGCTTTAATTATGAAAAAAATGCTTGTTTTAAAACTTTTTTTATTGATATATTGAATTAATTCAAGTAGTTAATTAATTTAATATACTAAATTGACCACAATTCATTTTGTGATTCATACAGTAACATTCTGTATTCCAGAAATCTTTGCTTTAATAAAAAACAATAGTTTCAAAATTATGTATTTAAATGTTTTTTTCCTGTATAAAAATTTTCTTCATGCCTTAAATTAGCTTGAATGTAACTACAAACTTGCTTCATGGTTTGTTTTAAAGCATATTAAAAACACAAAATAGACATATAAACAACGGTGAAAATGTTACCACAGGGGGTCTTTAAATATATAGCGGTAAAAAAATATTGTTTTAACTTTACTAATGTACACCAACATATATTCTTAATAGTTACACCACACAACATTTTAGAAGACATTAAATGTCAATTTTCTTCATAATTATATAAAAGTAATAAATAAATAAATAAATAAATAAAACCAATTTGAATGCAAAGAGACATTTCTAAGAATATGGTACATGTGTTTTGAACAACTTCTTCTTTTTTTTTTTTTTATTCTGTTTCTCTATTGTGGACACTTTTAAATGTTATTGACCCAGTAATTTATCATATAGCAATTTGACAAGGATACTTTGTGAGGGGAACTTTTGGAGATTAGTTATTCAATCCATCGCAGTGCTGGGTTCTATTGCCACCTTGTGTTACATAGAAGCCTTTGCAGTTGTACATGCGTGCCTCAAACTGCTGATTCTGGTCATTATGTGTACCAATGATATATACATACGTTTGCTACTGAATGTGTTCATGTGACATGGTTGAGACTGACATTCTATCCCAAGAGTCTTTTCATATATTAATATGTTTTACATTGAGTTTTATAATATACATTTGTATCTTTGTATATTAAAACATGATCGGCATGATCCTCATAGTTGACATTTGGGATTAATGTTTCCATCCTGGTGGTTACATACAGTCTGTGTTCCATCAACATAAGCGTCCCTGTGACACCACTCTCCGTTTGCTATTAGGCTTTGTTTCAAAACCTAGTGAGCTTGCCTAGCCTATAGGGACTGCATTTTTGGGTACCATAGGATGTTCAAACATCCATGTGTTGCCCCAGACTGATGACTGGATGAGCAGCTCACTAGCTCTAAATCCTTACTCCTCATTTTGTCCTATTGTCTGTCCTCTCTTTAACCTCTTCTCATGATGATGCAATTGTAGGCAATTTGAAGTCAAGCTTATATTGTAATACTATGAGTTCAATGCCCCTCTGTAGGTTGAATCGCTGGAATGCATCTTCGATGGGCCGTCCGCTGTAGTGAACGAGGAGAGTCCTCCGTCTCCTACTACTCCCCTCTCCAACCCGTACCCTCAAAGTCCTGTGACCGTCCAGGTAACAGTCACCCCTCTGACTTGGCAAGCATCTTTATGTGCTTCTGATGTTAGTATCTGTGGCTTGCCAATTCTGTGTTTGTCATATGGCTGTCAGTGGTGTGGTCTGGTGTCGGTCATCATGTGATGAGAGTGACTGGTCGATGCAGCTTTTCATCGTTTCATGAGGAGTCACGTACGTTTTATCAGACAGGCTTGATGCTGACACTAGAGGGTACATTACAGTACCTCTCGTTGGTCCTTCCTGTTTGTATAAGCAATATTTCATTTCGATTAGTGCATGAGCCTGCTATAATCTACATATGTGGGTTCTAGTTAAAATATCAACTTGTTGCAACTTGTTTTAAATGCAACAGTTGTTTGTCTACGAATGTGGAAGCGATAGCTTTGCTGTTGCATTCGTCATCTGTTGGTGCATGCTGTCATGCATGGAAGCACCTTTGCTTCCAAAGCGCATGGCCAGTGTTTTTCCGTGCTGTAGGTACCAATTAAAGCCTGGTTACTGCATGAAATGGTCATTTTATATGATGATGATGGCAAATTCCCGGTTTACTCCTTTTCTGACTGCATAAAAACTAGGTCTTAGGATATATGAGGTGAAAGTGATAATTCAGGTCTGAAAACGGTTTGTATTTTCTTCGCCACATGCTTCTAAGAATGAGGCAGTATTGGTATGGGTTTGAGGTGAGGCTGTGTCCTTCAGTCACTTTTCTCATACAAATCATGAGCCTTGAGCTGCCTCCCATTTCTCGTCAGTGACGTCAGTCCTGATAAATCTTCCCATGAGGCAAAGTTGAATGGCTTTATCGCACGTTCAAGAATGCATTAGGCGAGCACGACAAATGCGAAGAGGTCAAGGTTCCAGAGTGCCATCCCCTACAACCCGGGAATTTCCATAGGCACAGGATAGGATATTGCCCTGCCTCATCTCCAAGGCAATGTGAGGAAGAAGGGGAAAACATCGTCCTCCTCTTTCATCACAACGCAGCATAGAGACACTGCAGCCGTTTATCAGAGAGTACTGTCTGCATCGCAAACCTCTGGACTAATTTCTTTCAGGCAGTCAGAGAGGAGCGCAGTCAGTGCTAGCCAAGTCAAGCACCCAGTCTCATTCTCTCAGCTTCCTGCTGACTCATTTTGAGCTGGAAGAGACGAACGCAGGCACCTGCATCTGCTCGCATCCCACCACTGCACAGCCGCGATCGCATCAGCGTGCCAGGAACTGCATCAGCCACAGCAGCGAGCGAGAGAGAGAGAGAGAGAGAGAGAGAGAGAGAGAGAGAAGGTGAAACGAGTAGCGTTACTGGGGGCTGCACTGATTGTAAAGTGCTTTATTTCTGCTGCAGTTTACGTGCGTCAGGGAGCCTGTGTTTTTCTTTTTCCCTGCATGCGGCTCTTCGTAGGTACCTGCACCGTATGTTTTTGACGCCGACACGCACTATGTGCAGAAACTGTCTTTAAGATGCCTGCGTAAGAAGAGGTGGAGGGGGCAGGTCAGAGTCGGGAAACCAGTTCTATTTTACCGGAGCGTGAACCCCACACACGCACACTCCAGCCTCAGCCCACAATGCTCAACTCGGTGTGGTATGCTAAAAAGATGGGTCGCCGGATCATGGGTACCCTCAGGAGAACCAAGAGGCGGCGTCTGCACTTGTTGGTAGGTCTGGAACTCTGCAACAAGAAAAAGCTGCGTGTCAGTCATGGCAGTGAATTCTTTTGGTAAAGCACATGATAAATGCTTAAACTTAAGTTTTGGATGTTGACAGAAGTTACTTGATTTGCCTTGTATACAATTTATTGTACATAATTTGCAACTGCATTAATCTGATTCGTGGGAACTTAGCAATATGTGTTTTCACCCAAAAGACCGAATGGACCATGTAATCACGACTTAGATTGTGAGAAAGCAGAGTAGCGTAATTTTTTTGTCAGCACATCATGGAGTCTGAACGGCACTGATTGACAGACTGTCTCGTAAGGCCACAGTAAAGTCCTTTTGTTTTGTTGTGTGAAATATGAGCATTGATCTGCGTTTACATTGTGGCAGTCACCTGCGTGAGTGTATGATGTCAAACACACATCAGTGTTTCGATGAGAAAATGTTAAAGCACATATCTCTTCCCTCTGCTGCCTGGCAACCTGCGTGCCTCTGTCATGCAGCAATGCTCGCTGTGTCCTACACACACACACACACACACACGGTGTGCACTGCACAAAGCGTGCACGTTACAGATGTGAATGGTAGCGGTGCTTTGCCACTGATCCAATCATGGTTGTTGAGACACTGGAAAGATTAAGCTCATTTAACTAGTCAGATTTACTGTTATGGTCCCTAGTCGCTAAATGATGCATGTAATTTATTATCAAATGCATGTTACATGTTTAAATACCCATGGTAGCTTTGGTTGTGTCTATTTATGGGTTGCTTGTTTGTGTGTGTATTTACTTTCAGTCCCTATCAAGACACTATTGCTTCTACATTTGAATCATTTAAATAATGTAACCCGCACCTTAAAACCCAACAGATAACCAGCCATTGTTCAGGTCAAAGAAGTGAGTGTATATATAACATAAACGGCATTCCAAATAAGGTAGATATAAAATGTTTAATTTAAAAAAAGGGTACATAACAATCCTAGTGTTTGGATGTTTAGGGATGTTCAATTAGTAGGGTACAGTCTGCACACAGAACTGAAACTCGATTTCCCGATTCGATTCTTTAGCAGACTGTTTTCATTAACCGATAACTTTATTTATAAATAATAATTTAAGTTAATTTTTTTTATGCCATAGCCTTATTGGCAGTGCTCCGACATATCTTACAGTTTAAGATGTATCTAGTCATCGTTAAAAGATCAGTCTTGGCAGTCATCAGAGTCAGTTTAATGCGCTGACATTCTCAACAATACTGACACTGAAAATGGGAGAAACATTGTGCCACAACGATATCGTTTCTTTCAATCCACAATCACCAACAATTACCATGGATTTATTGTAGAACACTAACTGTAACCATGGTATTGTGGCATAAATGCGTGATATATTACTATCGAATTTGATAATATTATTAAGGTAGACATGTATTACATGTATTAAAGGAATAATGGAATATAATTATTGTATTTTTTGTTGTTAAGCTATACCAGTTTTTGTTCATTTGTATTTATACCAAATGTCATTAGCCTACTGTTTTTTCATAACAAATACCACAGAAATAATACTTTTTACCTTAATGTAATGGTAGGCCTATATATGTGGTTTTAACTGTGGTTATTGTTATCTTCAAATCTACGATAGTATGGAAAACCAATGGTTAATTTTAATATGAGTCGAATCCTAGCTAATACAGTCAGAAAATGTAAATTTTACTTAATAAAAATTAGGTTGTTACAATTTTTCAAGATGTTACTGTTTTTGTTAATAAAAATAAATGTATATCCACATCCCAACTCAAGCACAAGCTACTGTGAACTCAACCTACTGTAAAAATGTATGTTTGTAAGAGACAAAACATGTACATTAATATTATTAATATTAAATGTGCGGTGCTACCAAATCAGGTGCTGGTGTCACCATCTGCAGAACTCTCAAATGTTATTCTAGAGCCCTTTAAAGTTTTTTTGTCATTAAAATTAATTAGGAAGCTTTTTCCCCCCATTTATAATACTCTGTTTTCCCCCATTTTCCATTACTGCAAATATTTTAACCTACATTAGACCAAACACTAACATATATTTGAGATGGGTACCTGTAAATCATGTTTGTGCTTTGATAGTTAATCTGGTGCATCTGATTGCATTAATTGAGGATCTCTCTTTTGATAAAAGTAAATTCATGGGTTATACTGTAGTTTTGGGCAGGATCGTCATCAGCAGCAGTTCTTTCATGTTCCCTGAACAGAACAGGCTTTTATCAGAGACTGAATACAGAGAAAAGGTGGTGACAGGAATAGCCAATACATCATTTGTGGATTCTGACTCTGCTATCAACATCTATTGAGAAGCTGACCAGCAGTCTGACCCTGTCAATAGCTGGCCTAATTTGTCTGCCATTGTGTGGCCTATGGAAGATTTGAAAACGGATATCCAGCGTTAGGTGCCCATTCTAGCCACAGAGAGAGTCAGACGGTAGCTTCATGCAGTAGCTGTTTTAGTTGCACTAACACATGCCTTTTTTATCTCATTCTTTTACTCTTAAGGTGTTAAGACGGTCAGATCCATGAGTTACTATTATCGGTGTGGATTTCCCGTGCTGCTCAGTGCTGCAGCGTGGTGGTTTAATTGTCAATTAGCAAGGTGACAGGATGGCTCAGTTCTGAGAGGCGACTATAAATGGGGTTTGCTGCCATCTAATTAGATATGCACACAGTGTATTCAGGGATAATTTGGAATTTATTATTGATGTCCTGCCATATCTATTGGCAATCTTTTCAGAAGGAGGTGGTGGTTTAGCATTGTTGTCTGGGATGCCATCTTACCCTCCGAATCAATAGTTAAAGCTAAATCCTGACAAGCCAATTCTTCAGTATAATTCAGTGGCGTTTATGTGCAGAAGGCTTTATCTGACTACATGAGGGGATGCAACACTATCACAGCGCTTGAGCCGGCATGGTGTTGACACGCGAATGATAATGTTTTCGTACCATCCAGTCCCTGCTGTAGGCTCTAGTGCACTAATGAATATGTCAACAGATGAAGCCGAAGAGCATGTTTACTGTGGCTTCTGGTGCGAGACAGGGGACCGGAGCCTGCACGGGAAATCCTGCTGGCTCTCTTAGATGTGCGAGCAGTTGCCATGGCTTTATGCTCCTAAGGGAGTGGAGGCTGAGCCTGGTGACAAAATCAGCCAACTCATCCGGCACCTGTGGCACATCTACGGAAATGTTGAACGGAAGAGGTTCCCTCTGAGTACCGGTGTTAAAGATCGGGTACGATATCCACAGCGAATGGTAATGCAACTGATCCGGACCTGGAGAATACCTCATACCTTTTTGTGCTTTTT